CTTTCAATAATTGTTATTTATTTCTCTTTTTATTAATTTTAGAGTATGTTTGAGTGTGCGCTGATTGAACTTTATCTCCTTTGATTACGCATGATTCCTTTTGATTTGATTTTCATTTTGTTTTGTATTGCCTATGTAAGGCCTAGAAAACCATATTGTTATTTGGTTATTTTTGGTTAAATAAAATTCAAAAAAGAGAACTAATTTTTTCTCGCAATCCTTGTGTTCAATCTTTCTTTCTGTTTAGTTAATTTGGTACTGTTTCGGTATTATGCTAGCTCATGGGTTATGACTCCACCGTCGAATACAAGCTAAGATCATCAAACATAGTTGTAGATTCTTTGTCCATAAGCTTTGTGTAGAATACACGAGGTATGTTGCTTTCCCTATTCTCCAAAGCAACTTTCCATTTAATCGTTCAAATTAGGGAGGAAATTTCTACTGATACGAAATTCGGAAGAAATTTGTCAAAAGCTGCATCAGAATATTTTAAGTGATCCCAATATAATAGAATAAGAGGGCATCCTCTATGATAAGCATATGTTCTTTCTTAGGTCATATTCTTCCATGCGCAATAAAGTGATTAAAGACGCTTATTCTACACCCTTGGGTGGACATGCTAGTTTTACTATAACATTGTTAATGTTGTCAACTTCTTTTTATTAGGTGACTGTGAGGAATGGCGTGTCTAAGTTTGTCAAAAAGTGCCCAACTTGTCAACTAGTGAAAACTGTTACATCTCCTCCATTAGGGTTGCTTCAACCTTTGTCCATTCCTGAAGGAGTGTTTGAAGATCACAGTATGGATATCATCAATGGCATTCCAACATCAAAAGGACTTAGAGTCATTCTAGTAGTTTTTGATCGTCTTGCCAAATTTGCACATTTTGGTGCGATAGCTATTTAGGGTTTTTAAGCTACATAGATTTCCTTACATTGCGACAAAAATAGCTTCTTTGTTTTGTGATATGTTTGTTAAGCTACATAGATTTCCTGGATCTATAGTTTTAGATTGTGATAGTGTCTTCTTAAGTCAATTTTGATAGCAACTATTTAAACACAATGGCACTATATTACGTATGAGCACAACATACCACCCACAATATGATGGTCAGATGGAAGTAACTAACAAGTATCTTGAGCAGTACATCGGAGTTTTCCGCTATGACGAAAACCACAGGTGGTCCTTGCTTCTGGGTGGGCAGAGCTCCATTATAATATTGTTATTCACTCCTTGATTGGCATGAACCCATTTCAAGCTCTTTATGGAGCCACCAACCAGTATTCTACCTTATTTGAGGGGATTGGTTAGAGTTGAGGCAGTGGATACAACCTTATTTCATCATGATGCCTTACTTAATCGATTAACATAGCACTTGAGGGGAGCCCAAAACACAATGAGGATTCAGACTAACAGGAACAATAAGGATATTATTAGCTTCAACCATACCGACAAATCACATTGGAAAAAAAAGAAATAATAAATTGTTTAAAAAAAGCTTTGTCTCGTTTCTAGTTACTCGTGTGCTATGTCCTATGCTGAATTGCTAATGAGTAAAACATTTCACAATAAAAATATTAGACTAAATTAATCTCATGTTAAAGGATATAATTTTCTTATGTGGATAACGTAAAATTAAGATAGATCCCATCTTATTTTTTTGTTTTTTATTTTTAGTGGGACCTATATCAAATTTATATTATAACATAAGACATACTCTCTCATATAATATGATATTAGTTTAGCCTACAAACATTATCCTCATAAAAGTTAAAATGTGTTAAAAATCAAAGTGCACATTCCACATACATACGATTTTTTGCGAAGTGGAAAATGTTTAATAAAGATTAGGAGATGATTATAATAAGAAAAGAAGTAAAATACATTTTCCACATAAAGTTTGTTTTCGGGTCCCTTTTACTCATCATTCTTGGAATACTTCAAAGCTTGAGAGAGATAGAGAGAGACCCACTTTCAACTTTTTGTCTGAAAGTAGGTGTTGACTAAACACTCGGAGACAACGGAAAAAACAAAGGGTTTTCATGTTATTTTAGCATTTTGCCACAGAATTAGGGCTGTCTTTAAAGAGCATAAATGCGGTAGTACTTGCTGAGAACCAACTTTTATTTTTAAATAAAACTGATGAAATTTTTATGACAAAAATTGAAAATATAAGAACCATATTTATTTGGCAGACCATTTTACACTTTTAAACAATGAAAATAAAAAAACTCCGATATTTACGTTTGAATTTTCAACAAAAGATTTTAAATAAACAACTACATATAATGTAAGTATTTACGTAATATTCTTATAATCCAGGCACTTGTCCTGATTTTGAGCTGGAATACTTACCTTAACGATAAATATTATTTATTTTTTTAATTACCTGCATGTTTGCCACGTTATATAATGATACATAATTAATATTTCTGTTTATGAAAAAAAGCTTAACATTATTCATATTTGTCTTAAAAAAATTCCAAGGCAAAATACAAAAGGTTTATGATTATTTTTTGTTACATGATTTTTTCTTTTTTAGTACGGGAAATAGAAATAATAAGAAATTATACTCAATAAAAATAGAAATAATAAAAAATTATATTCAATAAAATAAGTTTATTTTGTTAAAAAAATTGATCGGTAGCTTAGGAATAATTTTTTTTCTTTTCGGAAATATTTTTTATTTAATACACATAACATAGAATGTGTTATCGGATTTCGAATTTATTAAAAACACATTATATGATACATGTATTATTAAACACATTTTTTTTTTTACAGAAAAACTTTTCTAAACAAGAAGTAAGAAAATTATTTCTCTGAATAAAAAGAGATCAGTGAACAAAATAATTATCATGTACACCCTAATATTGTTAAAAATATTTTTTTTTTCATTTTTCATTTGTGGAGCATAAATGATTAAAAAATATATTTGATAAAATATATTGGTTTATCTGTTCCAAATAATGAGCTGGTAGCTGAAGAACAAAAATAAAACAATTGTCATGTAAACCCTGAATTGAGTACAGAGTAATTTAGACTTTTTATTGTTAATTTTATTCTTCATATAACATTTTTTAAGATATTAATTTTTTAATAAGATTAAAGAGTTTAATTTAGATGCATTGCATGTTTAAAACTTTTTTAATACACCATCATTTAATTTTGTATTCACACCTCATTTAATGAATTTGTCTGTATTGATAATTACATGAAATATTAAATTAAATAATGTAACAATACATTATTAAATTTAACTATAATTTATTTTATAGTAATAGTGTATTAAAAATATTTTTTTTTTAAATTTTTTATATTAACTTATTTGTATTTCAAAATAACCAATAGTTAAAAACATATCGAGAAATTTATGAAAAAATATAATTTTTTCTAAAAAAAAATCAAATCTAAACCTGCACACAATTATAAAATTATCCTTCATTTATTTGAAGTCTATTTTTTAGATCATGCGAATTAGGATAATAAAGATATTAAGATCTTGTATAAAATATTTGTAATTCGTTAAAAAATGAAATATTATTTTAAGTTTTAATACATTAAGTATTTTGTTTTTGTTTTCAAAACTACTCAGTTACGGCGTTAGGGGTGGGCATTAACAAATATCTTATTTGTTTTATACGATAAAGACAACTCTATGTTAAATTTTATATTTAGATAATTAATATTTTATTTTTGGAGGTAGATATGTGTCCTTTACAGCATACGCATGGTATGGTAATTGTCTTTCTTTCCTTAATTGTTGTTGGAATTTTGACATTCACAACTCAATAATACTTTGCTGTCAAAGCACCGAAGGATAATTTAGATTGGCTGAATAGTCAGCATAGGTCAGATCAGATGACCCACTAAATAAACCTCTCTTTGTCCACATCGACAGTGGACGATGGGTTGTTACCCATTCATGGTGCCAGTCAAGTACTGTAACACTAATGTGTCCTTTTGGTTTCATTATTATTTTTTTAATTTTAAAAAAAAGGCTGTGACACAAATTGGCTCAGTATTTAAGTCTGGTATAGATTGGAAGCAATGGATTAAATTAGATTTGAAATTAGAGTTTGCAGATTGCAGAGTGGCGCAGAATGGTAGTACTGTATGAAGTGATTGCATGGACAGATATGTCCTTCCCGTCAAATCTATGTAAGGGCCCTGCTACGTTGTCACTGTAACAAAATTAAACAAATAAATAAAAAAGGGTTGCTGAGTTTTTGGTTATCTGAGTTCTGAAAAATGAACCCTTTCCCAATTTCCATTTTACACTCACGAGCCCACTCTAGTGTAGTGCCCATTTCATGTCATGCTCACTAGATTCAGCTAGCTAGCTCATTACACCACACGCGTTCAATTTTCCAAGGTACACAGACAGACAAAAAGAGAGAGAGACTCAGAAACTGACCAAAATAGTTAATCCTACCCTTTACATTCCTTTCCTGGGTCTATCTTGCCATCATTTTCGAGATTTCGCTTTTAGTATTACGGTGTAAATTTTCTGGGTTTAAGGTAGGGTTTAAGAAAAAGCTAGGTGGGGGTGTTAAAGGAGGTTAGGGGGGGCAAAAAAAAAAAAAAAGTAAAAGAAAAGAAAAGAGAGAGAGAGAGAGAGATAGAGAGAGGGGCGGGTGCAAAAGACGTGGTCTTTCTCAAATACACAGATCCCTATGGAATGAAGTGGGTGCTCCCCAGCATCGCTTGCCGAGAATTCATTCTTTTTGTTTAGTTTAAAGAGACCAGTTTTGTTGTGTTCGGAGAGAGACAGATTTTGTGATGAGCGCATAGAACGATGAGTTTGGTTGGTGGAGAATTTTTGCTGTAGCTACACAACAAAAACCAAGTCTTCATATGCAGGTGGCAATGGATTTTATTTTCCAATATGATTAGTTTATTTGCCAAGCAATGATTGACTTGCCTTCCTGCGAGAGATACTGGTAGCAAGTTCAAACCTTTTTCAAGTAAGAAAAAAAAAAAACCCAAAAAGCAGGAAGATGAAGTCCTTGAATGATAGCAACACCGATGATGGAAACAATCATAACTGGTTGGGGTTCTCTCTCTCACCCCACATGAAAATGGAGGTTACTTCTGGCCCTCAGCATCATCATCACTACAATCATCAACAACCCCAGGCTTCTGCAGCTTCTGCTACTGTTTCTAATAACACTGTTCCGACAACCTTCTACTTGTCCCCTTCTCACATAACCAACTCCGGAATCTGTTATGGTGTTGGAGAAACCGGTAACTTCCATTCTCCTTTAACCGTTATGCCTCTCAAGTCTGACGGGTCACTTTGTATCATGGAGGCTCTCAGTAGATCACAAACGCAAGGTTGGTTTGCTCAGTTTTCATTTTTTTGTATTAACCCTTTAGAATATGCTGTGTGATTTCAAAAGTTATTCTTTTTTTTATTGTTATTTATATATGGCCCTTTTAATGATTATCTTGTGACGTTGGTTCTATTATTGAAGTGATGGTGCCTACTTCGTCTCCAAAACTTGAAGACTTTCTAGGTGGTGCAACTATGGGAACTCACGAATATGGAAGTCATGAAAGAGAGGCAATGGCTCTAAGCCTAGACAGCATCTATTATAATAGCCAAAATGCAGAGTCACAACCCAACAGAGACCATTCGCTGGACCTTCTTTCAGAACCCTTCAGGCAACAAGGGCATGTCACTGTTCAATCACATCCATATTATTCAGGACTTGCTTGCAATGGGATATATCAAACACCATTAGAGGAAGAAACCAAGGAAACCCACGTTACAGTTTGCAGCTCCCAAATGTCTCAAATGGCTGAAGAAAGCATTGCTTGCTTGAAAAACTGGGTGCCCCCAAGGGAGTATTCTGCTCAGCATGCTATGGAGCAGCAAATGAACTGTAACATGAGCAATGATCGTGGACCTGCTTCGTCTCTTGGTCCTGTAGGCTGTGGGGAGTTACAATCTCTAAGCCTATCCATGAGTCCTGGTTCTCAATCTAGCTGTGTAACGGTTCCTAGGCAGATCTCACCTTCTGGAACAGACTCGGTGGCCATGGATGGCAAAAAGAGAGGAGCTGCTAAGCTTGGCCAGAAGCAACCAGTGCATAGGAAATCTATTGACACATTCGGGCAGAGAACGTCTCAGTATAGAGGCGTGACAAGGTTAGTTCAATCATGTTCATGTTAGTTTTGAAACTTTCCTTTGTTGTGTAACTTATTCTTTGAAAAATAAATAAATTAGTGTTCCGTGTTAAATTGCTTATTAACTTCCCATGGTTTTTATACATTAGGCACAGATGGACTGGTAGATACGAAGCGCATTTGTGGGATAACAGTTGCAAAAAAGAAGGGCAGACCAGGAAAGGAAGACAAGGTTAGAACAATAGTCATTGACTTGGTTTTACTTGAAGTATTGTTTCCAACTTAAATTTTTTGTCCCTTCGTATTTGTAATCTGAACTGTGCTCACTAACTCATCTGTCATGATATCGCTTGTGTTGTGGATGACGATTCAATCAAACTTTGCATGTTTCAGTATATTTGGGTAAGTCTTTTTACCACAAAGATCTGCATTTTCAACCCCCTCTTGGTACAAGTTCTGATTGCTATGTGGTCAATTTGTTTTTTGAATTTAAGGTGGTTATGATATGGAAGAGAAAGCTGCAAGAGCCTATGATCTTGCAGCCCTTAAGTACTGGGGACCTTCAACGCATATAAATTTCCCGGTATATTTCAATTTTGTTGCATTTTTCGCTCACTTCGAATCTTATAAGCCTTGGAATTTCATTCTTTCTCTTATCTTTGGCAGTTAGAAAATTACCAAACCCAACTTGAAGAAATGAAGAACATGAGCAGGCAGGAATACGTTGCCCACTTGAGAAGGTACATATATCGATTAATTGGCAATTATGGTTGCAAAAGCTACCAGTAATAAAATGATAATCATGATGATTAAGTATTTATTTGCTTTGCAGAAAAAGCAGTGGATTTTCAAGGGGTGCTTCAATATACAGAGGGGTGACAAGGTTCATGCGGTTCTCCTGCTCCTTTTTCTTTCGAATTAGGGACACTTAGTTAATTTTGAGATTTGGGCTAAGTTCACTTTTTGGTATTATGCAGGCACCACCAACATGGAAGATGGCAAGCAAGGATAGGCAGAGTTGCGGGAAACAAGGACCTTTACCTTGGAACATTCAGTAAGTCTTACTAGACTATTGTCAATTTCTCGAACATCGTTACTAAATCTGTTATTAGGGAATTTTTAGCTTTTGAATTATGAAACAGGAACGCTCATGCATGTACATTTAAGGCGCTAGCTCGTTTAATGTAACTTCATATGATATATTTTTATTATGTTATTTTGTGCTTCAATCTTTCTTTTCCCAAACACTAGTGACTGGTAGTGCTTTTATAAGGCTGACCATATAGCTTACTTTTGAACATACCACTTTTTTTAAGGCTGTTCTCTCACATAAAATACGTTAGACATAGGTAAAGGGTATCTCGACATGAAAGTTCAAATTTTTTCAAATTGCCATTTTGTTTTAAAAGAAAAGAAACTAATGTTTTTTTTTTTTTTTTCTGGAAATAAATTTAGGCACTCAAGAGGAAGCAGCAGAAGCATATGATATAGCTGCAATCAAATTCCGTGGGGTAAATGCAGTCACCAACTTTGACATATCTAGATACGATGTTGAAAGGATCATGGCCAGTAATACTCTGCTAGCTGGGGAATTGGCTAGGCGAAACAAAGATAGTGATAAAAGAACCGAGGCCATTGACTATAATGGTGTATCAAGTCAGAGCAAAGGGGAAGCAGTTCAAGCTGGAAACAACAATGAAAAAGATTCAGACTGGAAGATGGTTTTGCATCATCATCATCCACAGCAAGAGTCAAATAGCTGTGATCAAAAAATTATGAACTGTGGAGGTTATAGAAATTCTGCTTTCTCTGTGGCCCTACAGGATCTAATAGGGACTGATTCAGTAGGTTCTGGCCAGCTCATGTTGGACGACTCTAGCAAGATGAGGACTCATTTTTCAAACCCGTCCTCGCTGGTGACCAGTTTAAGCAGTTCAAGAGAAGCCAGTCCTGATAAAACAGGCCCCTCACTATTTCCAAAGCGCCCAATGGAAACAAAGAGTGTCAACCACATTGCTTCTGGTGTTAGTTCTTGGTTTCCCTCACCAGCACCAGCTCAAATAAGGCCTGCTGCTGCAGCTATTAGTTTGTCTCACTTGCCAGTTTTTGCTGCTTGGAACGATACCTAGAGTTAGATATCTCCTTCATTTTTCATGTTAAGTTCTGCATGTAAAAGAAAAGAGGGAGGAGAAAAAGTGGGTTTTGAAGTAACATTTTTCTTTACCTATTTTGCCATGACTTTAGTGGAGGAATTTGGGGGATTAATTATAGGGCCGGTTGGGGCCACCTATCTTTAAGCTTTATGTAACAAGGGCCTTTACAAACAATAGCCTTTTGGCTATATGTTGGAATGGAAATTTGCATATTCTAAGGAAAGTATTAATTAAAGGGGACTAATGATTAAATTCTGTGAAATGATGTTTGGCAATATGGAAGTGGCCCTTACATTATTGCATTTTCTTTTCGGAGTTGCACCTTTTCTAGGTCCAGCTAGTTATAAAACCAGCTCAATGTTTCCCAATAATGCAAAGTGACCTCTTCTTTGACCACATCATCTCGTTTTGTTGCAAATGTGTTCCTCAATCTGCATAACGCTATCATTGCACAAACCTTTCTTATTTGAGCTTTGTTCGGAGGCTACAAATACTCCATTCATTATTCAAAAAGAAAAGGTGTTTGAATTGATTCTTGCTTCAAAGTTTCTGGTTGGATAAATTGTCATAATTACCTAGGGACACCTCTAATTTCTTGTTCATTTTAAAAAGAAAGGGAATTTACATTAAAAATTTCTTTAACTTTTCTCATTCCAATTGTCGAAGTACAGAGAGATGTGGTCTTAAAAGTGATTCCATGTCTTGGTGTGGATGCTTTAGAGCCTTAACACAACTTGAGTTTATCTTGTTATCAAGTGCTTTCCCACGTGTGTGTGTGTGTTGTGCATGTATTTGTGCTTGATTGCAATATTCTTGATTCTTGACCATAATATGGGACGACAACGAGTAATCAGTGCCGGTAAAGCTGGAAGTAGTTCAAACCTGAAGTTGGGAATAGCTGTTTCTATGCATGACCTCTAATAATGTGTTAATAATCCAAATTATTTTATAACACTTTCTTTAACAGGAGGAGAAAAGGACAGGTTCTAGCGATTGATCTATGATGTGGGGGTGGAGGATTAATTGGCTTAAGGAATCCAGCTACAATCTCTGCTACAGTTTCTTTAAAAAGTTGTTCTCCTAATTAACCAATCGCAAAAGAAGATAATGCACCCACAACGAAGGGATTAGGTACAATTACTGTGTACTCATACCACTCACAAAAAATTTGTTCATTTAATCCCCAAAAAAAAATGGCTTACTGTTACTGCAGAATTTTAATAATATAACAGCTTTTCCAATTAATCGTACTTATGCAGTTATACTTTTTTTTTTTTTTTTATTTCTCAATCAGTTCATCGTTTGAATTATATTCGATTCGAATATTTTTTCGGACCTGAATAGCTCTTCCAAATTTTTTTATTGTTTAAATTTGAGATTTCTGGTTAAGTGATCCAGACTCGTTGCGAGCCAAAAATGTTTGGTGTGCAGTTATACTTCTATCAGACTGGTAATTGCATCTGGGCAAATGTACGAGGATCGTCATTAATGCAATGGTAGCCCGCTCTCCATCAATGTTGTTAACAGCAGTAGACTTTTCACCCTATAGAATTTGCACTCACATGCAAGTGTTTCTAATGAGATGCAAACGGTGCAGGCATGTGTTCGCTGTGAAAGTCAAAAATAATAATTATTATATGTTTACGAATTCTCTTAACTAGTTTTTTTTTTTTAATATCTCTTAAATCTGAAATAAAAATACTGAACTTTTATATTTTTTTTCAGAAATTAATGTATTTTCTTTGTTAATATAGATTTTAATCAAGTGTTAAAAACATTTTAAGAAGATATAGCCAAACTCAAAAAAGAAAAAAAAAAAGCCAGTCTTTTAATTCGCGGTGCAGATGATTTACAGAGCAATTTTCTGACAAAAGCTAGCTCAAAGGGTGGGAGTGCCCAAGGCCTTATAAACCTCACATTAATTGCCCATACAACCAATGTGGAACTACATATCTCAACAATCGATGAGTTATTATTATTATTATTTTTGGGTAGGAATATACTAAATAACTAAATATAGTTCATTAATGGAATATAGAACAAATATACTCTTCGTCGTTTTGGATAAAATAAAGGTTATTGGCTTACCAAAAAGGGGAAAAAAAGGTTATTAGTTGTAGAGCTCTGATAAAGAATCTTGGGATACACCACCTCAAAAGCTAGCTCAAAAGGTAAGAGCGTCCAAGGCTTTATAAAGGCCACATTAGTTGCACATACAACCAATGTGAGACTATATATCTCAATACGCTCCTTTACGCAAGAGCCCTTTGGGCTAGAAGCGTGGAATTGCACAGGCTCAATTTTGGTTTACCTCGGTGAGGGCTCAAGCTATACCATGTAAAGAACCTTAGAATACACCGCCCTAAAAGCTAGCTCAAAGGGTGAGAGTGCCTCTTATAAACTCCACACTAGTTGCTCATACAACCAATGTCAATGTGAGACTACATATCTCAACACCAATAGCTTCTAGGTCAACAAATTTGTTCATTTGGGAGGGTATATTCTTTATGCTTACTCGTTCATAAAAACGGTGCAAATGGGAAGGGACATGATTTCGTCGTCTTCTTTTTTGTTCCAAATTAAACTATGTGGAATAATAGGAAGGAAACCTTTGTTTTGACAAAGTAAAAGCGGGCATGTCTAAAAGTGAAACACAACAAGAAGCAGATTGCATGAAAAACAAATGGTTAAACTAAAATAAGATTGATGGTCAAAAAGCTAGCAAGTCACGTGGAAAAGATAGGAAAGTAAAAGATGTACCACTCTTAACATGGGGAAAAAAAGTAAGATCCACTTCAATTTTATTGTTTCTTTCTATCCATGGAGATTAGTCAACAAATATGATTACAAATCTTATTATTGTGGACAGCCTAAGCAAACAAACACAAATAAAAAAGTTTTCACAAAGGACAGCTTTGTAAAGCACTTGCGCATGAGCTGGATTATAGTGCTAGTTTCTCAGAAGCTGAAAACTTAGTGAAGAAAATTTCAGGATACGTACTACAATATTTTTGCATTGAAGACATTGAAAGGACTTGACGTAGATATGAAATTAAAGAAGGTGAATGTGGTAGGTGAATTCAAAGTGTATATAGTTGAATAATAAGGCTCCCAGAAAATAAAGACGAAGCTAGTTAATTAGCATGTTTCATTTGAGACAAGGAGTGGAGGCATATATAGGTCAAAACCAGCGGCCCATGAGCTCCTCTGTGAGCCAGTGAAATCCCATGGTCTTTTGTAGTGTGCCCCAATTGTCAAAAAAAATGTGCATGATTGAGGGGTAGTAGTTGCTCTGTGACATCATTTGAATGGAGGTGCACCATGTTCATTCTTATATTTCATATGGTGCAGCAAGAACAATATAATCATCCACTTGTTCTCCCCTACAAGGCTACAATTGCATGAAAAAAAATACACAAAGAACAATAACATTGCCCGAGTTGATATAACCTCGCTCTTTTTTCCCTTCTTTTTTTTTTCCCTAAGGCTTGGCTACTTGTACGTGTCTTTATATACTATAGTAATTTAATGTCTCTCGTGTTGTAGAAAATAAATTTATCTTTTACACACATATAAAAATATGTAGGATCCATATGAGAGAAGAGGGGGAAAGAAAAAATATGTACTTCACAAATTTTTATAAGTGTGTAGGATATAAAAATTATCTCATACAACTTGAGAAATAATAAATCATACTTTATTGATATTTAATAGTTCAAATGCCGTAAGGTCCCCCACAAAAATATTTACATAGATACAGATACAAAATAGCTACATGCATTGTAAGAGAGATGGTCCCCGAAACATGCCGAAGACTTATATTACAAATTGATTGAAACCCCAAATTAGATGTCGTATTCTTCAACATTTTCCAAAAAAAAAGATGTCGTATTCTTCAATAATAGGACCGTATAGCTAGGGGGACCGAGATAACCTTGTGAATGTTTTGTGTTGATATTGAGTGGGAGAGAATAATGTGTGTCCCCTATGGATGAGCCATGTTTCATCCAGGGAGGCCTCTAACACTATTACTGGCTCTTTCTTCGAAATCTCCTCATTTCAATTTGGACCCGTCCTTCTCATGTTTCTCAGGTGGATCTCTGGGAATGGCAGTAGAAAATAATGGAGTCTAGCGTTTTCTCTATGCAATGTGAACACCCTCTATAAAGTCAGAAATTTACGATACATGTTTTTATTAATGAGTTTTATAAGAGTCATGTCGTAGGAAAAATGATTGTGTAATGTTATAGAGATTCGTTTTGCGTGCTGTAATTTTCTTTTTTCTTTTTTTCAAAAAGTGTGAGCTTCACCAAATATTATGTGTGTAGGAAAATTTGTTGTGTCATGTTAAATGACAAATGCAAACCCCTTTATTAATTTCAATAGTGTTATTGTTGGCAGCGCGAAAAATGATGCTAGTACATTTTCATGAAATATATCACTTCACATTTAGCTTATGTTATGAAATTAGAATATGTCTGTGCAAAAAATAATAAAAAGTTAATTCTAATGAAATAATAAAATAGTATGCATGCGAATATGTGTAAATAAAAATTCTTATCCAATTACGTGAGAACTGTACATTGTGTAATATGTACAATGACAATTAAAAAATTTAACACACATCACCCAAAAAAATAATATGAGAGTTAAAAACAATTTTGTCAAACTGATCCAAATAAAATATTTCATAAACAAACTTAAAACAAATTCTTTCGTCTTTAAACCCCTATTGAACGCAATTATTTCAATAGTAGTTTCTCAATTTTCAACACTCAAAACTCAATATTTTTATTTAAAATAAAGGGTAATAGTTTTACCATACAGTAGGAAAAAACTATTATCTCCAATAGACTCATTTATACACGCCGATCCATTGTCAAGGTGAGAGAAAGAAAAATAAAATGAGGCACACATTAAACTTGTGTATGTAGGAAATGGTTTCTTTCTTATACAACAATAATAAAGCCCTAAAA